ACACCCAGCGGCGGGGAGGAGAAGATAGGACTCCCATCATGGATTTAACGGCTAATTTGGAGAGCGCAGAGAGCGGTCCTGACAACATTTTGATGCTCCTGGATGCGGGCCAGCCGCCTCGCCCGCGGGAGTGCCGACAGACGGGAGCGGGTGATGGAGCGGCGGCCCGGTTCGGGGGTCAAGCCTGGGAAATCACGCGGAGGCAATTAGGAGCGTCGGCTTCATGGGTAAAGCCAGCGGCGGCGTCTGGAGCTTCGGGCGCTGCGCACGCTGGGCGGGAAAGGGGCCACGAACAACTCAACACTTGACTTTGACAAGGTCGGGGCTGGAGGAGCAGCAGGCGGACTGGCGTGGCGCTGGCGACCTCATGATGTCATGCTGCTGGTGACCTTGCCGTGCTCAGCGCTGGCCTCCTGACGGATAATGATAAGTCACCATGTTTCTGCACGCCGGTACTCGGCTTCCTCTCTGCGTTCCAGACTAGAGGGTTGTTGTGTGGAAAGACGTCGTGTCCGCTGACACACAGTGTGGTGTGTGTGCGGCGTCTCTGGCTCAATTAGTTTACGTTGATTAAATGTCATTTTTATCCTGAAAAAAAACTATATGCGTATACATACAGTATAAGAGTAAAGGATTACAATAATAAAATATATATTATATTATTGTAATCCTTTATGAGTAAAAGCGGCATAAAAGCTGCATTGCTTTGTCTGAACCGAGCTGATCACAAAGATGCCTTTTCATTTCACACAATTTGATACAATTCATACATGAAATTTGCAGTTCCAAACCGCCATTCCGTCAATAGACATTTGGGGTTCTTAAGCTTTTCTAAACACGCCACAGAGAAAGAAAATCAGATGATGCTCATAGTTCATGTTCACCCACCTTGTTGGACAGCAAAGAGTCTTATTCATGAAGTTTGTTAAATAATTCACATGTCAAACACTCAATTTGAGCTGTGTGGTTTCTTTTAATTGGCTCTTGTTTTATATTAAAGAGCAAGTGGAACAAGCCGGAGTATATACAGACAGCAACGCTGCCTCCTGAAGACACTCAGCGCCGCTCTCCTCCAGCATCGTGTTCTACTCTAAAGATAATCACACACAGGAACCACAAAAACACCACCCTTCCAAAAGCACCCCCAAAGCCGCCCGGCAGCGCGTCCCCTGCACGAGGACAGCTCTGTCCTCTCCTCGACGTGTCCTGACCTGATTGCCATGTGAATCCTGCTCCAGAAAAGAGGTCTGAAGATGCTCCCTCCCTGGTTCCTGAAGCGTGGAGATGCTCTCCATCAGGACTCAAGAAGAGCGCGCGAGGTGCTGCTGAGGTCCTGAGTAGTGTGGAGCGTTATAGATTTATTCCCCGTACATTGTGTGAGTGCTCCGGACATTAAACTTGCATGTCCGTTTGTCCTCAGTAGAGATGATCCACAGCAGCTCGATCATGCATCATTAAAACAAAACGAAGACGTGTTAGTTCATGAAAATGAATCATTCATGTGGACGCCAGACAGACCTCTGATCAAAAAACACCTTCACACGCAGAAAGCACACAAGGAGCACACGGACGGGGAGGTGAAGCCCCCCCCACCCCACAAGGACCTGTCAAGAGCCCTCATAAGTTCATCAAAAGATGAAAACCCTGTTTTGCATGTGAAAGGACACAAAGCGTCCATGAGCATGAAAGACGTGACGTGAGAGGACGGTTGTGGCTTCCAGCCTGAGCAGCAAGTCATCACATGAACTTATTGTCCGACCAGCGGGGAGAAGCTCCTGGTGTCATCCACACGCTCCCCGCGAGGCACAGCGGCGACGCTCGGGTTGCGTTTGGCCGCCAATGAATAATGAAACGCTACCGACGACCAACAAGTTTGTGATACAAAGACACAGCGGCGGTGAGCAGACGGCTGCTCTGTACTTCAGGCCTTAAAGGACTCAACGTGTGCGAGGTGAACTCATGTAACATACAAGGTGTTCACAGCCAATCAAAGAAGAGAAAACAGATCAAGTGTAAATGTTGCGCAATAACCCCGCGCATCCCGTGCGTAAAAGCGGAGACGCGATGAGGTCATTGTCTCAAGCTGCAGGACAAACGCGCAAGTGAGACAAGGA